TGTTTTTTTTTTAACTTTGGAGCATTGGGGAACTTTTGGCTCCTCAAACTTTGGCGCAATGGCTAGTTGCGTAGGACTTAACCTTTTCCAATTTTGTTTCACCTTCGTAGGCCTTTCATTTCTGGCTTCTTTCTTCCGACTTCAATTTTAGAGCATTTGGGGTACCTTGGCTTTTCAAACCTTTGCCAAGACGGTTAGACACGTAGGACTTGACCTTTTTAACTTCATTTGCCTTTATAGGCACTTCAATTTGATTTTCTCCTTCCAAGAGTTTTGATTTCGAAGCATCGGCTGCCATGGCCGGTCGAGGTCGACTTGATGCCCCTGACGAGGCTGTGTGCCTTTTTGTATATTAGCTTGTATCAAATGAGAACTCTGTAATTCAATCTTACCATCCTTTCTTTGTCTTAGTTTCGGAACAGAGTTAGACCGAAAGGAATTCAAAGAAAACAAACAATGGAATGGAGAATGAGTTTAAAAAAAGAAGTGTCCCTTTCGGGGAACGGAAAGAAAGACTTATCTGGAGTATATGTGGACTTCAATGAACATGACATGCCTTCTGGACTGGATGCCTGATCTGTGTAAACCGTTCGACTTTCAGAAATTCATCACAACTTTTGCCTCAAAATCGAGAAATCTTGCCAGGACTCTATCGATGCCGATGGCTGTGAGGATCCTCTTTTCGATCAGGGGCGCCCTTTGTGGGTTTTCACCAGCTGACCTCTCTCGTTTCTTTTTTCACCGTCGCCTTATAGTGCTTTTTGCGAGTTTTCACTAACATGACTCTTTCATTTTTTATTTCTGTGCTTACCATCGCCTTACGGTGCCCGTGAGGGTTTTCACCAATAAGACTCTCTCATTTTATTTCCCTTATTTTTGTCGCATTAGATCCTATGACTGTATCTTCCAATTCTTGAACATTTCATTGATTGATCGGAAGGAATTTGAAAAAGGGTATGGGTGAAAAGGATTTGGAGAGAATTACAACTTTGGAACCCTTCGGGCGAAACCATCGGCGAACCATTATAACTTCCGCCCCAGTTTCACTTTTGGGGGAATTTGAATTTTTGTTTTGGTATGACTGAACCCTAGCGAGAGGCTCCCTACGTATCCTTTCAGAATCAAGTCGAACGTAGTTCAGAAACTTTGTTTTTAATTTTCTTTTGTTTCTTTGTTTTGTTTTGTTTTCTCTTTCTTTTTCCTTTCCTTTTTCATCTCTTTTTTTCGTTTTTTTATTTCATTTTCTTTGTCTTTTCTTCCTTTTTTTGTATCTTTCTTTTTCTTCTCTTTTTCATTTAATTTTTTTTATTTTTTTTCAATAACACTTTCAGGTTCCAAAGAGGGTAATCAAACAAAAGTAACCGGCTCAAAGGGTTTGCAAAAGGTTGATAGTGTTTGGATAGCTAAAATAAAAGCCTTCTTCATCTCAAATGGAGAACATTAATGTTATATAGAGGATCCAACATAGTACCTTTTGACTGCACCTACGTTGAGAGTTGTTCAGGAACATTTCCTTTGACATTTCCCATGTACAATGCTCTCTTCGGCAGTACTCTTGTTACCATGTATGGATCTTTCCAATCTGGAACCAATTTTCCTTTAGCTGTTCCAACTCTTTATTTTATTTCCTTAAACTTATCTTCATTGGAATCTAATTCTTGATTCATTATTTCGAGATGTGACAGCGTTTTAGGATCTAGGCATGAAGTCTGCAAGCATGTCATGTTATTGATATGCATTTAATAGAACTAAAAAGAGAATAAGAAAAGTGATAAGATTAAGAAAAGCGACATTCCTAGACAATGAAATATATATTTCATTTGATGTTTTTTTGAATTTTAAAGATAGAAGGGTTTACATCGGAAAGTAAGACAATAAAGTAAAACATTCGGATCACACCCTAAGATAATCCAGACGCAGAAATGATAGCAAGACTGGCTACCGAGACTCCCATCTAATGGGAAATTTTTAGGCTTGGCAACCGTTTTTAGCTTTTCTTCTATCTCTGCAATGACTGCAATGGCCTTCAGTGCCGGATCAAATTCCTCATCTTCACAAATCATTCCGACTATTAGCCCAGTGTTGTGAGCAGGCAACGAGTTGTTCGTCATATCAGGAGCCTCTTCATCCCAAAGAACAATTCTTTTAGCTTCAATCAAGTCTTCAATTGCCCTTTTGAGGGTCCAACAGTCCTCCGTACTGTCTCCCACTGCTCCAGAATGGTATACACATATAGCATCAGCTCAGTACAAGGGGGACCCGGGGTTCGGCCGGTTCGGGGCCACTGGCTGCAACAGACCTAGCCCGATTAGCTTTTGGAACAAGCTCGAGTATGATTCACCAATAGGGGTGAACTGATTCTTTCTGAAAGGTTCTCTTGGGCGAGGATTGTATTGGGGATCATTTGGTTGAGGATTATATGGAGCTTGGTAAGGATGGGCATTTCTGGGAGGTGGAGCTCGGTTTTGTGTATAATATTGTGGCCGAGGGTAAGGTTGCACGTTCATTACCGTATAGGGAGGCGGTGCCACAGCATAAGCAGCATCTTGAAGGGGATAGTAGTGTGGTGGGACCATTTGAGGCACATATGATTGTCTGAATGACCTATGGGCCCCCCTCGAGCATGACACCATTATGGCTCCCTCTTCTCGCCTATTTCTGTTCATTAAACCCTCTGAACCATTCTGAGCAGCCTGTGATGTAGCCTTAAAAGCAGCTTGACTCAAAATTCGTCCCGTTTTCAAACCATTTTCAACCATCTCCCCAATTTTGATAGCCTCAGCAAACGGTCTACCCATAGCAGACATCATGTTCTGGAAGTAGTCCGCCTCTTGGGCCTGTAGGAAGACCGTAGCCATTTCAGCTTCGTCCATTGGAGGTTTTACCCTGGCAACTTGCTCGCGCCATTTGACAGCATATTCGCGAAAACATTCCATGGTTTTCTTTTTAAAATTGGACAGAGTGTTTCTGTCGGGAGCGATATCCACATTATATTGGAACTGGCGGACAAAATCTCGGGCCATATCGTCCCCCTCTTAGCTGATTGCAATATCTTTTCAAATGAGTGATCGGGTCTCCATGCCCGTCGTATGTTTTGAATTTTGGCGTCTTAAAGCCCACGCGCAAATGAACATGAGGAAACATGCACAGATCAGAGTATGAAACACTCTTTTGGATACTCAAGCCTTGCATGTTCTTAAGACTTTGTTCGAGACTTTTCGTTTTCCGAGCCATTTCTTCTTGCTCAGAATTCTTGACAACCTTTTCTTGCCCCACCGAGAAGTCACATTGCGTAGATTGAGTAAAGGAGTACGAGGTAACATATGTTATTTCTGGTTGAAGCTGTGGACCCTGAAAGGTGAACATTGGAGGCTCAACATACGGCCGTGACAAAGTTGGTTATGCTGTGGTGCTGGCAGTGCCTTTGAGGCCAATGCCTGGGGGCAAACCACAGAAGGCATTCTGAGACAGTTAAATGGCATTATAGGGTACTCGCATGGGATGAACGGATTGGGCACAAAGGTGTTGGTAGTCTCTCTTGACCTGGGGATGAACTCAGGGATCCCAAGGATCACACTTGGCGGTTCCTTACCATTAGACCAGGCATCCCATATTTCTAATATGCGGAGACGCAACATTCTATTTTCTTCAGTAGCTGCTGATTCTAGATGCGGAATAGCTAATGCCGGGCTATTCTCAGGACCGATGATTGGTAAATTGCTTGCGGAGGCCATCTGTGCCTTTGGATCTTGTGAAGGAGGGGAGGCTAGACTACCAACAAAATCAACCACCAAAACCTGGCTAATTTGCACACCCAACAACCTTGTTAGTTTTGAGACGCTTAACAGATAGGAAATCGCACGTTTGGATGCAATGCACCTAAACAGTTAAACGTTTCTACCATGTATTTGAATGGTTGTATGTTTCATCCCGACCTTTACTAACTCTTTTCACTCTGTACCTCTTTTCTTCATTTCTGCCTCTCTTTAATTACTCTTGATTTTTTTCATCTCGTTTTTGCCGCTCTTTTATTTTTAGCACTCTCTTTTTCTCTTTTTGTTTGTCACTCTTTTATTTTTTGTCGCAACTTTTTTTTTTGTTTTGTCGCTCTTTTCTTTCTTTTTCACTCAATTTTTTTCTCTTTCTTTTTTTTTTCAAATTATTTTTCACTAAGTTTTATTTTATAGCTATGATCGAATATGATGGGGATTGCCTACGTATCATGACGCCGCATGAATCAAATCTTGCGTAGTTCGGGAAGATTGAGAATGGAGTAAATAAGCTAACTCTCTTTTTTGTTTATTTTTATAAAACTTAAACCATGAAAGCTTTAAGAAAGAGAAAAACATATATTTTTTGAAATTTTATTTTTTTTTGGAATTTCGAAAGTAATGCTTTAAAAGAAGAAAGGAAATATTTTTTTTTGGATTTTTGATTTTGAATTTATTTTTTATTTTTTGAAAGAAAGACTTCTAAAACTTCTTTTTCTTTTGATTTGAACTTTGAGAATTTCAAAAGTAAAAGGAAATATTTTGTTTGAATTTTCATTTGTTTTCTTCTTTTCTAAAGAAGAAAGAATTTTTTTTTTGGATTTTGGATGTTGCCTCTTAATTTTTGAAAGAGGAACTTTTAAGAAATATTTTGGATTTCTGAGTTTTTTGTTTTTAAATTTACAAAAGTACTTCTAAAAAAAACGAAAAATATTTTTGGACTTCCAAATTTTTTTATGACATTTACGAACGAAAGACTTTTAAAGAAGGAAAATAATATTTTTTTTCTTTGGATTCTTTTTTTTTCTAATTATTTTTGGATTTTTTTGAAAAATACTTCAAAACAAAGGAAACCCGTATTTTGGATTTTGATTTTTGATTTATTTATTTATTTATTTTTCCGTATGAAAGATTTCAGAAAGAAGATATTTTTTTTGATTTTAAAAATCTTTTTTATTTGTCGAAAAAGTAGCGGAATTTAAACCCAAAAGTAGTTAATCAACACAAAAGTAGTCGAAAACATGATTTAATGATAATAAGTAGCGGATAATATCAATAAGGTGCGAAAGTACAACCCAACACAGCCCTAACCGGGGTGTCACAAGTCACGAGCATCTAACAATACTGAATCCTCAAATGTAACTACAGAGTTTTAAATACTGAACTAAGAACATAAAGGAAAGAGATAGGGAGGAGCTCCAAGCTGCGAATGCCAATAGCTACCTAAAGACTCATCGAAGATCCGCTTGAAGCTGGAATGAATCAACACTCGAAGGTGGGACCAGCTACGCCTGAATCTGCACACATGGTGCATGGAGTAAAGTGAGTACTCCAACTCAGTGAGTAACAAATGTAAATAATGACTGAAAGTAAGAAAACACGTAAAGCACAAGGAATTCTATAATGAAGCAGTAAAATCATTTTAAAATAGTAAAACCAGTAAACGTCAAGTAAAATCCTCTTTCCACAAGTAAACAAGTAATTGACATGTAGTTAAGGTAAAGTAAACAAATAGAAGTTCGTCCCTCGGGCACAGTATCAACAAATCCGCCCTTCGGGCAATATCTTAGAACAATACCAGCCCCTCAGGCTCAATCTCACATCACAATGAGTACCTGCGCTCACTGGGGTTGTGTAGACTCCTTGAGGGGCCCCTTACGGCCCAAGCGCAATAACTAGCCATCTCGTGGCATCAAAACTGGGCCCTCGGCCTCATATCAATCAAGCCACCTCGTGGCGTACATATCTCAGGCCCTCGGCCTCAAATTAGTATCAGTGTTTCCTCACAATATAGGCCCTCGGCCTTACTCAGTCAAAAACTCTCACAAGCCCCTCGGGCAATAGTAAAACAGTGTTTCTCAGCCCAAACATCATTTAAAATATCATTTAAGTCTTAAAACTGAGTAAACAAGGCTTAGTAGTAAAAAAGATTTCAGAAAGAAGAATCTTTTTAAAAATGCTTCTAAGGAATTAAAGAAAATATATTTGGATTTTTTTTAAAAAAAAAATTGGGGCTGGAATCGATGAGGTTTGCCTACGTATCTCACATCCAGTGAGAATCAGACCCACGTAGTTCAGTCTGTTTTGACATAAATGGAAAAACATGATATTGACTCACTTTCATTTTTGAAATACATTTTCTTTCTCTTTTCTTTTTCAAAAATTTTGGCAAAGTTTCGAGGCATTTTTCAAATGTCGGGTTTTCAGAACCGGGTAAATTCTCTATATCCTACCTCACTCTTGGTTTTTCTGTTGTTTTTCTTTTCTTATACAGTCAACATACAAGCCGAAACAAATAGATGTACAAATAGCACGTAAGATGCATCAGGATGGTCTTTCATTTCGGGTACACCTGTCCTAGACGAACCTAACTCCTGTGTTGAGTCCCCAAAGTCAAATGCACGTGATGCAAATAAACGTTTCAACTAGGGATCCGGCATGAGGTTATGTTATTCTAGGTATAAACCTGGGTTGTGTTCTTGTCTGGCTTACCCAAGCAGACAACTTGAGCCGAGGTGGGAGCGATCTACCGGGAGCACGAAAGTCTACCCGGCCTAGTGGTTGATCCATCCTCGTTCTATTTGGTACGACCTTTGTAACGACCCGACTAGTTGTTTTGCCTTTTAGGACCCCATTCCCTTAAATAAAACTTCCCGTGCTTGCTTTAGCTAATTTACGACTTGCGGGGACGGTTGGTCGGGAATTGGAAAAGTTTTGAGTGAAATATGTCCATTTGATTCGTTAAGATTCTCTTAAAAGACTAAATTTGACTTTGGTCAACATTTTGAGCAAACAGACCTGAATCCGTGATTTGACGGTCCCGGAAAGTCCGTGGGAAAATATGGAACGTGGGCGTATGTCCGGAATCGAATTGAAGTTTTAAAAAAATTAAAGAAACTAAGTAACCATTGATTTCCTAGGTATCAGGCTCGTATTTTGGTTCCGAAGATATAGGTCCGAAATATCATTTAAGACTTGCCCGTAAAATTTGGATTCAACCCGAGTAGTTTAAGGGCATTTTGGCCCGTTAGAGGGAAATTAAGAACTTGAAGTTCATAAGTTTGATTCAATTGGTTTTAGGGGGTGAATTCTAGATTTAGCATTGTTTCGGGTGTTCCGAGGGTTCGAGTAGGTCCGTCTCGTGATTTCAGACTTGTTGGTATGTTCGGGCGGGGCCTGGGAGCCCCGAGCGTCAGTCAGACGAGGCTCCAGTGAAGTGGAAAATTTGATAAAGGGCTGAAGGTTGCTGCTTCTGTCATAACTGTATCTGCGGTTCTTGGACCGCAGATGCGGGACAGCATGTGCGGCCCTTCCATTGCAGAAGCGACCCAGGTGGCCCGGCCAAGAAACCGCAGATGCGGCTCCCAAGCCGCAGAAGTGGCTCCGCAGATGCGGCCCTGAGACCGCAGATGTGGTCGCAACTTTCTCTCCCCTTTCCGCAGATCCGCATTCTCGCAGATGCGGGACCGCAGATGTGGAAATCGCTGGGCAGTGAGGTTCATTTAATACGAGTTCAATATCATTTTTATCACTTATACACTCTTCCATTGGAGATTTTGGGAGCTTTGGAGAGGAGACTTCCACTTAGCATTGTGAGGTAAGTTTATTCCATCCATCTTTTGTTTAATACTTGCATATTAGGTAGATTAAACACTAGAAATTAGGTAAAAATCAAGGGGTTAGAGCAAGACCTAGGGTTTTAATAAAACTTAGATTTAACCACGAAATTTGTTATGAGATGAATTAGAAATCATATATTATTGATTCTTAGGTTGTAGAGAACAACTTCCTTCGAAAAATCTTGGAATCCGGACACGTGGGTCCGGGGTCAAAATTTAGGAAACTTGTGTAAAAGGTTGGGAAATTGCTTAAATAGTTAGAATTCGATCTTGTGAGTCTATATTGACTAGTTCATACTCCATTTAACTAGTTTGGGATCGTTCAGCTCCGAATTGAGGGTTTGGGCTAGTCCTTGGCATTTGAAGTATACTTTGGAGCGAGGTAAGTCTCCTTTCTAACCTTGTAAGAGGGAATTGTCCCCATAGGCATAATAATTGAGTAATTGTTGCTAAATGTGGAGGCTACGTACGTACTAGGTGACGAGAGTCCGTGTGTAGCTACTATTATGTTAATTGTCCGGGTAGTTTAGGATCCACATCATGCTATGTTTGTGAATATCTCTATATTATCTTGCTAATATGATCACTTAGGATGTGCTAGAGACTTGGAAAGTAATAAGAGCGAACGTGTATACTTGTTGAACTCTTGAGTGACATTATTGAATATTAATGTGCCTTCGTGTGTGTTCTTGATATTGCTTGTTATTTGTGGATCGGGCCGATCGCCTCGGTATGAATAGATGCATCTATGGTTCGCGCCGTTCGACCCTCGACAATGCACAGTTTATTTCTGTTGGATCGGGTCGTCGCCTCGGCATAATGTGCGCATGATATCTATGTGAAGTTTTTTGCATGATTTGTTTTGCTAAGTATTTCAAAATGTAAATAGCTAACTGATACATTGTTAAGAACATGATTTTACCTCTTGTTATACACTATTGATTATTGGTGATCCCCATGCTTAGCATAACACTTTATTATATAATTTGACCCTAGTAAGTATCAAGTCAACTTCTCGCCTCTACTTCTTCGAGATTAGACGAGATACTTACTAGGTACATATTGTTTATGTACTCATACTACACTTCTGTACTTAATTGTACAGGATCTGAGGAAGGTACATCTGGCTACCAGTCGGGTGTGCGCCCCTGAGTTGTTGACCGAGACTTCCACGGTCAGCTGCTTCCTTCCTATGTCGTTCAGCAGTCGGATGGAGTCTTTTCTTATTTTTACTGTCTTTTCTATCTCAGACAGTAGGACAGAGATATTCTTTTGTATATTCTACTAGATGCCTATTACTTGTGACACCAGGTCTTGGCACATACATTAGTAGATATTTATTTTTGGGTTGTATAATCATTTTTGATACTTTATTGATCATTTATGATTTTTTTATTTAAATTCGAGAATCTGCTTCACTTATTTTTTTTTTATAAAAGTAAAGTAAGAACTTAATTATGTTTTCCGCGTCGGCTTGCCTGACAATGGGTGTCGGGCACCATCATGACCTATTTTGGAAATGGGTCGTGACAACATGGTGTCAGAGCATTAGGTTCACGTAGGTCTCACAAGTCATGGGCAAACCTTATAGAGTCTTGTAGATCGGTACGGAGACGTCTGTATTTATCTTCGAGAGGCTATAGGGTATTAGGGAAAAACTACTCTTTTTTCATTTCCTATCATGCAGTGGTTGTTGTACTAAAATTCCCTCTTCTATTCTCTCACAGATGGTGAGGACACGCACGACTGATGTTCCGGACCCGGGAGGAGCTGCTCCCCCCGTTGCTAGAGGCCGAGGCAGAGGCCGGGGGAGGGCATCGGTCCGTGGTAGGGGACAAGGGTGTCCCAGAGCTATTCCAGTAGCACCACCAGCAGATCTTGCGGGAGATCCTATTATCAAGGAGCAGGGCGAGGTGCCCGCAACTGAGCCTACCCCAGCAAATTTTATGACAGCACCGGGATTTCAGGAGGTCATGGGCCGCATGCTACAGTTCATGGATTCTATGGCTCAGGATGGTTTATTTCCAGTAGATCCAGCTACCTCACAGGCAGGAAGGGGAGCACAGACCCCTACTACTCAGGCTCCAGGTCATGCAGCTGCAGTGTATCAGACTCCGGGTGCACTACCCGCAGAGGGGGCCCAACCAGTTGCCGCAGTGGTGCCCCAGCCCAGACCAGTTGGCGATGGTGACCCGTAGAAGCTGTTGGAAAGATGGACTAGACTTCACCCTCCAGTCTTCGGGGGTGAGCGTCATGAGGATGCTCAGGACTTCATAGACAGGTGCAGGGACAGCCTGCACAACATGAGGATATTGGAGTCACATGGAGTTGACTTCACTACTTTTCAACTTGAGGGCAGGGCCCGTAGATGGTGGCAGTCTTATGTTCTTGGCAGGTCAGCAGGTTCTCCTCCCATCACTTGGAGTCAGTTCGCACAGTTATTCTTGGATAGGTATATCCCGCCCTCTAAAAGGGAAGAGCTGCGGTATCAGTTCGAGCATCCTGAGCAGGGTCAGATGTTTGTGACCGACTATGAGGCGAGGTTTTCTGAGTTATCCCGCCATGCACTTATGATACTTCCTATAGATATAGAGAGAGTGCGGAGGTTTGTTGCGGGATTGCACCACGGTATTCGATCTGGTATGGCCCGAGAGGTAGAGATGGGTACAGAGTATCAG